CTCCATTATTACATTAATGTGTTTATTGAATATTGGCTATAGAGTCACAGCTAACGAATACTTGAGAACTCATATCTTAACACAAATAAAAAGTAATTCCTTTATGAACTGTAACTACAAATTCGCGCCAATTTTTTTGCACTCATTTTTTTTGATGATATTATGTGAGTACTGCCTATGCTTTTGTAAATACCTATAATTAATAATAATGAATATGTTATTGTGCGTGTAACTGAAGAACCAAGTTTTTTCTTGAGTCGAAATTTTGCATCGTTACGAATTTGTAAGGTGTTGCCCTAAAATTGAATCGCTGCTTTAAATTTTAAATAACTAACAAAGAGCTATGGCTATGTAAACAGATTATAGAAAAAACTGTCATACAGCTAAATGATCATTAGTATCAGCGCCCATAATTGTCTGAATTAAAAAAATTATTATGTGGTCTATATTATTGTGCGTCTAATTACGGTGCACGGTAATATATAAAGAGGCTGTAAAAACTAATGAAAAAAAAATGTGAAACACGAATTATATCTCACCATATACTATAAAATAAGTGGTAAAATAAACGTAAGTACTTTGAAGTGAAATTACTCCTGTGAAATTACTCCTCTAGTTTGTTCTAGAACTCATTTTCACGAAGAATATAAACAATACAATAAATAGAATTAAAAAAGGACTTCAAAGTACTTTCGTTTGTTTTACTGCCTTTTTCTAAGTATTTGGTGTAGGTATAATCGTGCATTTTATTTGTACCCATCTATTTAAGGTGGCTAACAGCCTTTTCATATAATACTGAGCACCATAAAGTAATATTATGAAGAGGCTGTATGGTAAATGAAATATAGAAGGCAAAGTGCGCGAGTAAGTGTGCGCATACGTACCCTTACCCCGTCTGCAATATTTTCGTTCATTCATTTGTACAATATTTTTTAACATGCTTTTATTTTGCATTTCAGTGCCTAATCTAATAACGTAACCTACCCTAACTTACACCAGTTACTAAGTTGATAAGATGGTAATATATAGATTTCATTTTCTATTTATCATTTTTAGTGATAATTTCGACTGATATGTCAAGACTAATTATAAAAAACATATCTTGGTTCTTAATAAAGAATATTTTTCTATTATTATTATATTTATGTTGACCATACGCAAGCAATACACTCACATATCGCATGTGCGTTTACTTACCTCATAAGGGTGCGCATAGTTACCCACAATGCGGGTCAAGTGAACGCATTCCTATTTTAGATTGTTTGTTGGTAATAGGAAAAAAACTACATGTCTTAAGCTTTTGTGTTTATTTAAATTTAGAGCTTAATAAATGCTTTATTTAGTCATACCTGTTCTTAACTCTTATATTTTATGTAATCTGTTTGTGTAAGTCCTAAATTGCAAGAGGGTGCACATTTGATCCGAATGACTCTATTGAACTTTATGTCTGATATGAGATAGACATTATGCTGTGATTTACATAAATTCGCTTCTACTTCGTTTCGTGACAACGAAAATTGATCTTTGGGCCCACTAATTAGCTCGCATTCGAATTATGACTGTCGATATCACTTGCACTTGGATGCATTCAACACCGCGTCGTAACTATCGCCTTACTATCGGGTATAGAGACATACCTACTATCGGACATGCCACAGCGCGGTCCGCTTCTTAAATAAATGGTATGGTCACTTCCTATATATTTTTCTACCTTTTACAGTTGGCAAATAGGTAAGCCTACTAGTATAAAATATTTTTAATATACGGGTTTTTTTTCGAAGTGGTGTTCACGCATGTACATCGATTTATCGATAGGAAGGTAGTTGGTATATTAAAACCAACTTTTGCATTATGCCAGCATAGCATGTGTCTTCTTTCTGACTTTGTTTTTGGGCTACTGCAAACATCGTAGATGTTAAGTATCGTGCTGTGAAATGTACCTATAAATACGCCAAGTTTTAACGAAAACGATTAAAAATAAAACTTTACTTTTAAAACTTGTAAGTCTATGTTAAAACAATATTAATTTGAAATTCGAATTTTGTACTTAACAATAGACAATTTGCATTTGAAATAATTATATCACTTTTTATTAAAAAGCCGACTTCAAAATGTTGCTTATATCCGCTTTCTCTGTGTTCCGCTGTCTGATAAACGATAACATATGAGCACAAGCTCAAAGTAGCTGTACACTGTTGAGGAGTTCCTGTGTCTGCCATTTCCATCATCAAACCAGCGCTATCTAGGTCATCGTAATGTTATTTTCATTAGAATTATATCTTTGTGTCACATGTTATTGAAATCGGTTAACGGAAAGTGTGTGAAATTGAATAGACCGGATTCAACTTCTTTTTTCGAAGTCGGTAAAATACTAGAAGGAGGAGACTGGCTCTTAAATAGAAAGAATGAAGGGAATGAATACAAAAAATCCCTTCGTATGCGGTGATTATATATAAAGGAAAATCTTCGTCAAAATTTATTATTTTTTGCTGTGATACGTCGGTGAATACTTGGATATATTTAGATAGATTAGATAATAATTTTATTTATCGTTATCCCTATAACCTTTTGTGTAAGGTCGTTTATAACACACTTTGTATACACTACCTTCTAACTAGGTAATTAAATCAAAATTCCGTACATCATTAAGCTGTGAAAAGAGGTAAAATAAATTAACCTATTTTAGAGGTTTTCAATTCCGAATGTTCTCGAACTTTTATGACAGTCCTTTAAGTCTATATTCGGTTGAAAAGGTTGTAATCCGTCAGTGTCGCTAGTAATGAAATAGACGACTCGATGCACATAAATTTATTATATAATAAAGCAGAAGAAAAAGGTAAAAGGCAAAAGAAGGCTACAACAATAAAAATAGTATAAAACACATGTACAATACCAAAAACACTCCCTACATAAATGCTACGAAACATGTGTGACGCAGTAAAGAACTTGCACCAAAAGGGCCGAATTTTCTACAAATATTAGTTAGGTTATTTGATTTTAGTGATATTAGATAGGTAACCAGATTTTAATTGAAAACTGGTAAAACAAATCAGAATTTCTGGTAAAGAGGAGCAGGAGTCCTCGCTTCAGACATTAGGTAGAGAGCGACGACGGAACGAAACAAAGTGAGAATGACGAGGCAAAAGAATTAAAGAACCATTCAAAATTCAAAAATGCCTAAGTGGCCAGGAACCAGAGAAAAGGTGTTATAAAGGTGGGACAATACAATACAATATTTTTAGAAAATGTATACATACATATATAAGTAAGCCTGGACGTTATTCATGAACTTAACTTTCACAAAAAAATATACTAAGTACCTATTTGAACTGAGCTTTGAATGCACACAGACATATCGTCGGGAATAGTGCAATTACTCGTAACTAGCATTTGACTATGAGTTTCCATTTCGGTAATTTAGTGGCCATATCAAATCCGTGTAAATGTTGTAGCAACTAAATTAGCGTGATTTACGGGAATCTGTTGTTATCAGTCCGTAGACAACATAAGTTAATGCTTACTATGAAAGTCGTAGCATTGGAAATAACGAAGTAATAACGTTAAATCCCTATCCAGTGAAATTTGGTTTTGGTGCAGATACGCGCCCTTTACTTATACTACATAGGTTATGTTAACATTTAATTACTTGTCACATTTTTCAACTACACAAAAGTTGACAGTATTGTTGTCGCTAACACCAGTGTAGTGCAGAGAAATTTATTAATTAATAATAAAAATAATCGATAATCTCACATACAGGCAATAAGACACATGCTGATCTTCCTCCGCATGGTTCTTACAATAACCAACATCATTATGTCAATTGTTCCGTCCAGTGTTCCTTTTTGTTGCCAATTCCAATTAATCTTTTAGACGGTGTTTACATCTGAAAAACAATCTTAGTTATGAATTTATTTTAGTATATAGTATAACGTGATAAGCTAACAAGTTGTTGGATGAAATACAAAAGTAATACTGAAATAATAGTACAACAAGAAATAACCAATAGGTATTCAAAGTTCACATTAGAAGAAAAATTTGCATCAACATCGTAAGTCAAAGTCAAATAATAATTTATTAATTTTTAAGCTACTGCTCGTAGTATCCTTACATATTATGTCACAGTTGAAATAGAATAATATTACAACAATAATGTGATATTAATACAAGAGTGCTAACCTTGTTAAAGGCTATTTTCTTAGAAAAGTGAGTTAAAGAAACTTACTGCACTACTATACTTACACTATACTATACTTACATTATTATTTAATATACTACTTACTACTATACTACAGTATTGAATTAACTTACCTTAACGTGATAAAGTATGATGTCATGTTTTTTGTGAAAATTGGGTCTTTATGTAACAATTAACTTGTCGCGGTGTCGAAATTAACAAGTGAGTCAAAAGAGACCACGTTACAAAAGAAGATGTTACTTATTAGTGTTGTATTGGAGTAAAAATTACGGCGAATTCACAGAAAATGACGAATCCAGTTTTACAAAAATAGTAAAATCGTTTTTTTTCGATTTACACGTTCTTCTGGCGAACGGGCGATATCAATAAGTCTATAAATGTATATCGTATGTAAAAGAATCCCATGCACTACTTGCTTTTAACGAAACCTGCTAATTTTAGTGGACCAGACGCAGTGACTAACAATAGATCAAAAATTTGTCATGTGCGTTATTCATGACACGCATAATTTTTAATTAATTCCGCACTTTAAAACGGCAGTTATTTTAATTATTTGCGACACTACAGTGTGTTAGTTATCGGGTTTGCAGTAATCGTTTCCTATTAACATACTCGAATGCAAACGGTACGAAGTTTAAGGAAGGAACGGATAGGTTGATTGTATCTATGTGAGGAATACGCGAGTTAAGTTACCTATTAACGTCAATACTGACGATGGTGGTGGTGGGTGGTGGTGGCAGCGTGGTAGCGGTGTGGTGGGTGCCGGTTGGACTACTAGTGAGAGCTGCTCAGTATTACAAAGATGTGGCGGTGGGTAGTGTTGTGGCAGGCCTCCTTTGTTCTCCTGGTCGGTGGCACGCTGGACTTTAGGATCTTCAACCAAAAACGCAACTATGCGCCTCCTTCTCTCTCTGTCTCTCCACAGGTATTTAGACACACAAACAAACAATTTTTGAACTTTGTTGATTCATACTTTTGTGAGAGCTTGTTAATTAATGTTGTAAATTAAATTATTAATTGTTAATCTTAACTTTTTTTGCAAATGAATTGTCATAGCATAAGTGATTATAGACCATAGATATATGTGCGATTCTAATTTATTAAATGGAATAATTAGTGCTTTCCATTGACTTTTTATAATTGTAAGTCAATGGTGCTTTCATAATATTTCATTGCAAATTGGCCAGCTGAGATTAACGCAAAAAATCCAAATATATACACAAGGATCACAACGATAATCCTTTTAACAAAATTATCTTTGTTAATACCCATAATTAAAGTATCATTGCATTATAAAAAACAATATAACAATGTAGCAAGTTACTAATCATAAGCTGGTTGATTCCTTATTTATTACCTAGTATTACAGAAGAGGAAAGTCGAACGAAAGTGCATATGAAGGTATGTTTAGGTGATTGTACCTATAATATGTTAATTTCTGAGCAATCCTCGCGTGATTAAAGAAATAAGGTGTAGTGCCAGCACGGTAATTGATAAGAAGTGTTTTAATTACTCAGTGTGACGGCCTAACACAGCAAGAAATTGTCGAAACGTTTGATTAATTAAAGATAATTTTTATGTAATAACATGTAGTCAATTGTCCGGCCGGTAATTGGTATCTTCCTGGCGACGTTTATTGCTGAAATAATTTCTAGTTAGTACATTATTTACTGTAATGTTTTCATTATCGTTAAAAAATCTTTTAGATACGTGATTTTGTTATAAACCGTATTCGTGCTAGAGTTAACCTTTATGACATTTGTTTTATTGTTTATTACATACAATTGATGAGTTAGTAAAGTGCTGTATTCACATTGTTTAGTTTGTCATCGTCTCTGTGCGAAACAATGTGTGCAGCGAAGAAATTACATTGTTTAAACGCAGCAAGCGAGTTATTGACCTTAAGTGTATTCTATTAGTGATTATAATTTTCTGTAAAGATAATATTATTAAGCCTGCGGTCTATTTTTAACCGACTTCAAAAAAGAGGAGGTTCTCAATTCGATTGCATTTCTTTTTGTATTACGTTACGCGATAACTCGACTTGTGAACCGATTTTGATTCCTTTATTTTGGAAAATTGGTCCCATTTAAATTTTAAGAAAATATTGCACCTCGAAGGATGGCAATGGTATGATGGCAAACTAGGAGATGACTGACTTTTGACGTCGGGTTTTTAGTACTTTGAGCTGTGTCATCATGTATTGTCAGCTTCATATAAATTTGCTTCAGGTCAACTGTTTCGAGTACTCAATGCCTGCGGAAAGAGCAGCTAGATCGCTGGATAAAGGTACCCAGAATTTTAATTTAACACTTCTTTCACTCACTCCATTTATTAGATGTTAGTTGAAAATCTGTTATTTCCCCGGATAACGCCAACAATGCCCTGTGGTCTGTGTTCTTATGATAGTCACGGGTGGCGGGACGAACAAGTTGGGCGCTTGGTAGTAAGCGACACGCCTGTCTATAACAATTGCAGTGTCACTCAAGAGCATTAAATCACAAAGGTCTGAGGAGAACTGTCATTGCCCCCGTCACCCTGAAACGTAAGTTGATAGACAAGTCCCATGTACCTGTAATTTCACCAGAACCCTTGCCATTCAAAACCGGAACGCTATAACGCTATAGCTTGGCGGCAGAAATAGGTAAACTAGCAGTCCCTTCCCGAACTCTTTCACAAGGACTTTTACTGTTACCAACACATCAAGCACGCTATTTTCTTGTTACTTAATTTTTTAGTTTTACGTAGAATTGATTAATGATTTCCTATATATTAAATAATAATAATATAATATCTACCAGGTGTACAGGGTTATTTGATAAATACCATTGAGTATATAACCACAAAAAGTAATGGGATTTATATCACTTTTAAATATCAACTCTCGTTTGCGCTGAAATCATAAATTAGAAAACTGAAATAGTACAGCGGCAACAACTGACCTGTGTGTACGTCTTCGTTTAATCTAAGTATATTCTGTATTTATTGTAATAAAGATAATACCTCTAAGAATGGGGGCTGTTCCATCCGATGGTGTGGGACAAACCGTAAAACATCTAATTACAAAACAAACGGAATCACATTTCATCGATAATATGTAATTTGGCAATTCTCGTCCAGTATAATAGCAAAGCTCAAGTTAAACTGGTCATTTTGAAGTGAAACAATTGACGACAACCGTCAATTGTTTCGAATTCGGCCTGGCCAGTCGGAGCGTAGTTGTCAAACAAATTAAATGACATTTCGTCCCTATTTCTGGTTATATACTCGATGCATACTCGATGTTAAATACTAAAAATGTCGCGGGACTAAATTACTAACATTATAAACAATACATTTTGTTCCATGACTTTTACGAAATGTACTAAAAATAAACTTGAAATAACGCCTCTCACGTTTTATCACTATTATTTATAAAAATAATTTTGGTGGTACATGCTTTCTTTTATTACCGCACAGAGCTATCACCGCGATTAGAGCGATCTATTTGTATATTTGTACGAAAGTGAAATTTGATGCATTATTAAAAGTTGTGGAACATAAGATATTGTTTATGATGGTTATTAATAATATAGCCTTGCGTGGTTCTTAGTATTTTACAAATAACCTTGTATAACAAAATTACTATATTACTATCTTTTGTAGGATGGCGTTTCCAGAAATATGCAGTGACGAGCTCATTTCCTCTACCTACCACACCGACGTTCGCAACGTTTCCCACTTTTCCTACTAACTCATTTTTGAACCTGAATGAAATATCACGAAGGATTGATGATTTGTTGCCAGGAAGCAATGATATAGTGAAAGAACACGCTAAATTGGTTCAGGATATTAATAGCCTGAAACAAGCAGTTTGGGTGGCGCCGCTTCCAGACGACAACAGAGATTACGACGATTCCATTTTTCAAGAAATTTTCGAAACATCAAGTACTACAACACCTAAACCTACTACAATTAAACCTGTGAGATCCACTAAACCTGTACCCATAATTCTGCTAGGCGGTGCCAGCCAGCGGCAGGTGGTAAAAAGTCAACCTCTTAAGTTCCCGAAACCAACAATCAGTCTCGTTGGCACTTCTTCGTCGCCCTTAGCAAAACACCCATATCCATTTGTTATGCAATCCAGTGTTCATAAACCAATCAAAGTGTGCATGACTTCTATGCCCATGATGTACGCGACGACTACGCGGAGACCTTCTCTTTGGCAGAGGATTCTTCATTCTCTCATACCCAGATAGCGTAAAGTGATTGAACGTTTGTGATACCATTAGACATTTTGTTAAGCGTGCGAAAGAATAAAGTTTCAAACCTAGCTAGGGTTTATTCTGTAATTATTGTAAGAAATTGTGCAATTTTATGTAAAAATAGTTAATCCGAGTCCTTTCGAACTTTCGTCCTACTTCTTATCGAAACAGCTGCGGTTCAACATAACATTGTTTACATTAATTTAAAATAAAATAGTGACGCCAGAATTATGTTAAATATAGATTATTGTTTATGTGAATTGTTTTTTATTTTATTTTAATACATTGCGGACAGCGAGTGATTTTTTCTTGTGATGTACGATATGATTTGTTATCAGTGTTGCAATCGGTATTACCTAGCGCGTCGCATCGCGGAGTTCCATCTATAGGTACCTACCTACCTATACGGTTCCTCTGGTGGTAGCGCAAGCGTGTGCCGATGTCGTTGCTCGCGTGTGCCATCGCTAATTATAACCCTCGATTATGTATTGTCTAGTTTTTTACACATTGTGCGTCGAATAGAAAAGTTGAACGTCTTATGTGTTATGATGAAACTATTTTTACAATATAGTTTATGTCATTAGCAAAACTGAAGAATTCGATACAATTTTAGATCGACGTTTTCTTAATGCATTGTCACGAATTGGTTAACTAATACGATGATTCGTATTATGCTAGAAATTATTACGATTAATAGCTTCGTGTGAGGTGCTTAGTACCTAGAACATGACATCGATGGCGACCTTCTGCACGTAACATTTTCAGAAAAAAACCATTGCAGTTGCAAAGCTGAGAGCTGTGGTACGAAAACATTCTATCGTTCTCATGAAACAGGCACATTGTTTATTGGTTTGGCTGATTGATAGCGGCGCGGAATTAGGCATTAACAAAGGAAACAAACATTAAATAAAGAAACTTTATTCGAAACACCCGAGGAGTACCTACACATTAATTAAGGAGCAAAAATACTGAGCTATTTTACTGGCTGAATATTTCTGGTATTTGAGTTTATACTAACTTGTTACAGATACAGATTTTTTAGGGTATTTAAAGAGCTCTGAAAATGATGGTACAATGTTATAATAATTGTTCATACAACATCAACGTACCCATTTTCATTAAATAAAAAGCTCAAGCTGTAGCTTTACACAGATCACATACTTGTGGCTGAAAGTGTACAATTAAGTTACTTAGTAACTACTTACTCCTCTGGATCGGTGCAAACGTGATGAAGCCAAATATGTGTTTGTGAAAGTATTATAAATTCGGTTCACACAACATTTTATACGATTGACGTGGCTTTGAAAAGGTAGATAGAGGAATAGTTGTCAAATTTATAACGATAACAAGTTAGGTCGTTTTAATATACATCATTAAAAAAAGAAGTAATTGTTTTTATTCTTCATTTACAATTGTTTAAACTGTTAACTGTGTGCGACTTGCAGTTAATCTTATGGTGGGTTCCTACGGCCCGCGATGTCAAACGCGCCGATTTGTATGCTCGTAAAACGGGCGGATTCGGGCCTCGGGTCGACGCCCGTAGCGGCGCATATTCGGATTGGTATCGAGAGCATGGCCGTGCGTGCTCTTGCGCCTGTCCTTATTCAGAGGCGGCGGACGCTGGTGCATGCGCGGGTGCGTGTAAATAAAATGTACCTTGCGTTCACAGTGGCCACGCGCCTATCTCGAGGCGGGCGCGGGCGCGGGGGCGCGCGAGACGCGCGTCAATGTATATTGACTAGGTCCGCCCGTACCTTTTACAGTCCTTGGTCTAGCCAGGTCTAGCGTCAACCGTCTGTTTGTCATTTCGACGTGTGCATCTACCCGCTGTGAAAGGGGGGACGTCAAGACCGCGTGCGCCAGTACCCTCGGCCGCGCCCGCGCCTGTACTCTGAATGAGCCCTGAAGTTACCGACTAGCTGCGTGGGCCGATACGAACATGGGCAAGCACGGACGCGTTCGGGCGGCGGTCTTCTTTCCACGGCGCGTGTTCAAGTAACGAGCGACTGGAACCGTGGGAAGCCGCCTTTAGATATATTTCCTAAGTAATATTCGATTAATTCTATGGTTCTTCATTTTCTGACCTAGGATAGCTACATGTAGGTACCTACTCAGAAACATTTATTATAATATCTACGAAACACATTTAAAACAATAAAGTAAGTGAGTAAGTAATAAGTATAATATTTTTTTCCAAAATCTCAGTCCGATTTCCTACCTGCGACTCAAAAAATGTACATATGAGTAAGTTTGTCTTCTTGTTAATGATTCCAAAAAACATAAGTCGTAATAAAATTGATTTCAACCCCAATGTAGTGTATACATATTAAATTAAGAATTAATGAAATTTGTCCGCCTATTTTCTATAACTCCAGGTTTACTTCATTTATTAACTGTTGTTGTAAATATATGTAATGTTTAGTTATTCTCTTTCTTTAATTCAATGAGGACATATAGGTAGGTTGACGACGAATAGCACATTGAGCTCTATGATGGCAGCCAATACGAGGAAGCCGGCGTATGTGATTGAGCAGGTGACTCCTATGCGCCAGTCCAGCTGGAACTTGTTCAAAGCTATGCATCCGTATAAAATGAACAGCGTGGATAGAAGAGATATTGCACTGTATGATAGTCCGCTCGAGTTTAATGATATCTGTGGAAATGAAATAGAAATTATTTTATTGCATTTGTTTCCTGATAAAATGAGATATAAAAGGCTAAAAAGTGTATTAACTATAAAAAATATTTATAATAATCCAGAGTAACATATGTAAGCCGTTATATATATGGGGCTTGGCCGGGCTTAGGAGGCAAAAAAAAAAAAAAAAAAAGGTTGTCGTTCCTCGTGCAAAATTAATTTTGTGATGTGCATCACATACATTCATTCCTTAATTGTAGTTGCTTTCAACGACCTTAATCCTAAAGGAGTACATTGATCAAAATATAATAAAATATTGCGTTCCGATACCTCCAATGAACTATTTTTATTTATTTAATTTATTGAAGCCGTAATTTATTAGTTATTTTCTGTTTTTAATGTAATCAGCCTTATTTTATTTACTAACATTACGAAAAGTAGGAATTTAGTGAAAAAAATAAAGAAATAAAAAAATAAAGTAGGAAACAAAATAGGAAAAGGAAAACAAAAAAGGAACAAAAACAAAATAAAAACAGAGATGATCCAAAAATTAAGTTGGCGTAGTTGGAGGTATCGATTTATTAAATGAGAATAACCTTACCCAATGGTTCCCGGGGATGGATGGGTAAAACAAGGATTTGATGAGCCACGGTAGACCGAGACAAAGCAAGATGTCAAAAGTGTTGGATCCAATTGAGTTACTGATGCCCATGGTGCCATGGCCTGCAATATTAAACAGGTACTTAAACTGGCAGCATTTTGCGAGTTATGTTCGTGAATTTTTAGTAACTCTATATCATCCTATGTTTTTTTCGAAAGCTAAAAGATATTATTGATGATATTTTAACTTGCAAATCACGTTGCATGCAGTAGAGTCACCACTATAAAAACTATAATCATAATAATAATACTAACAATAATAATACCATTATAATATCGTCAATTGGTATCATACCGAAAACTCTTCATACAGCCTTGAAAATGGTAGATTTACATCCTAAAACCTAGATACATACCTCTACAAAAGTCAATTGTATTAGACACGTGCTCGATAGTCTGCATCTTTAACATGACCTCACTCCAAAATTGCACCTGACACAACAAACTCCACACAAAATCACCACCCACTCCATCCCATCAGAATAACACAACCGAACGAGAATATTTCGCTTAGGCCTGTGTCTGGTTCCGAATATCCGACCTTGAGTCGAGTTCAAGAAAAATCTTTGTAATAATACTATTAATAATAATAGATTTCGGTCCATAAGTGTGGTTCAAACCTGCCAACAGGTTGAGAAAAATAAAGAAGGAAAAGAAAGAAAATAGTAAATAATAAATAATGTGCTCTACGACTACGACTACATCAATTGTGGTGGAGTGTATTAAAGGAGCCCCCTCACACAACATACCGTACCTTTACTGTACGTCTGTAGCAGCCTGGGCAGCAATCTTTCGCCACGATGGCAAGCATTAGGCTACTAACAGATTAACTGTATGTTTGCGGTTAATGCGAGAAGTCGTAATCAACTTTATGCAGCCGAGACCTTGACGGCATGAAGTTGATAACGACTTCACGCATTAACTGCAATCGTAATCGACCTCATGAATGATTAATTAATTAATTAATTAATTGAAGCATGAAGTCTTTATCAACTTCGTAGCAGTAGAGCTCCTTGTGAAAGAGTTCGTCGAGGTTAATATTGTCACCTTATCCTTGTCTATTTCTGCTGCTAAGCAGTAATGTCAGCATTACTGTGTTCCGGTTTTGAAGCGTATGGGTGCTGGTGAAATTACAGGCACATGGCACTAGTCAACTTATGTCTCGGGGTGATGGGTGCAGTGGCAGTGCCCTCAGATCTTTGCGATTTAAACCTCTGAATGACACTGCAACTGTTATGGACAGGCGTGTAACTAACTTACAATCACGCGCGCGACTTGTTCGTCCTGTCACAAGTAAAAAATAAAATATTACTATTATAAACTGTTATAAGTAAAAAATAAAAAGATTCATGCATTCGTGGTCTCGGCTGCGTGCAGTTGATTACGACTTCATGCATTAACTGCAAACATGTAGTCAATCTGTTAGCAACCTGTCAGTCAATCTGTTTGTATAGTGGAGATATGCCATCGATAAGATAAGAAGATGGTGCCCAGAGCTTAGAGGAACGTAACTTTGGCACCTTGACAAAGCATCTTTAATCAGAAATCATATATATATGATAGGGAAATAACGCATATCTAATTGTAAAAACATTTACAGCTAGGACCAAGTAAAGCAAAGAGTCATTGAGGGAAATTCAACCGAAAGCTAAAGTAACTAATCATTAGTTACTTTAGCATTCGTGCTTACCATGATTAGTAACTAGCACGCTGGAAACTGCTTCAGGGAGACTGGTGCCGGCAGCCAGGATAGTCAGGCCAGTGATGCTGTCCGGAACGTTGAGGGTGTCTCCTGTTTGATATCAGCAAAGGCAAGATTAACTGCCTCCGTGGGCGAACGGTAACCATGCTGGTATTTGTATGACCAACATTTATTTCTCTTGTGAGTTTAGATTTATTTTGTGGTTGTCTAATGTAAATCATGTGTGCGTGTGTACATCACGCAAGTGACATTTTGAAAGTAAACTAAATAGTATTAAAAGTTGCCGCATTGGAATGTCACGTCGAGTATTGTGTTCGCTCAGTACCCTCTACTCAAATATCACTGGGTGGAAGTATAATGTGTACATGACAGGTTTTTTATAGCTATTAAATAATATCTTGTCAACTTATGTCTCAGAGTGACAGGCGCAGTATCCCTCAGATTTTTACGATTTAAAACTCTGAGTGGCACTGCAACTGCTATGGACATAATTTATTTTATTTTGTTAGAAAACTTATTTTGCTTCATTGAGAATTAGTTTTATCGAAATAACAAATTAATCGATATTATCATCATCGAATCAATGGAACGTTAGCGGACGACGTTTTTCGCAATGGCGGCGAAAAACGTCGTTGACGACAGAAGACGTGGTTTTGTTTTGTTTGGATTTATGGTGAAAAGATCTTGTAATATAATTAGTCACTGGAATTTAATCTACTATGAAAACTTTGTACTTGGTATACTTAATATAAAAAAATTACTTATAAAACATATCTTTATAACGTACCAATTACGGTGATGAACCAAGCAATAAGGTATGACACGCAGGCAATCCACACTATGCACATGATGAACGTAAGTGGGTAGAGGCGAGGGCGACGGCGGCAATCGGGGATAGAAAGCCAAAGCACCAGGCTAAGCGGCCACGTCAGCGCCCACAGCAGTTTCTTCACGTAAGACGACTTCTCATCCGGCCAAGACCACACGGTACTTATGCTGTCTTCTACGAATCATAAGATTTCACTAGGAAATTGCATTGACATTAAGCTTTGACATGGTAGTAACTTGCTTGTATTGTCGTACGTGTCTAGTCATTCAAGACACAACTCTCTAAGTTATTAAAGTTAATGTACTATATGTACTGCAGTCGGAACAATTCTTAGAAAGTTGATCTACCCTACGTCTGTCGTTAATGGTACTGTTATGGATAGGCAAGACGAAATGAAGAATTTCGGTCGAAAGATATCATCATATCATACCATTTACAACTAAAAAAAATTGTAATGGCCTGTTTGGGAGAACGCACGAGGGAAAAGCAATTTCGAATCCTATAAACTGAGAAGGTTTATAAAACTTCTTCGTAGACGTGTGGATTCTCCAACCCACGTTGGACTAGGCTATGGTATATATCTAACTGGTCTATCTCCTTCTCTAAAACTGTGCCCAATTGGATGCACGTGGATTAAAAAACTTTTGTACGGTAAATCAATAATAAAAAAAACTTTTTTTGTACAAAGATTTTAAATATCGGTATATTATAACCAACACTTTACAGTCATCACAAATCAAGTCCGCTAGACTCCGTTGTCCCGGATGCTGCGAAAGGATGCCAGCTTATTTCAGTGAAAAGGGCCTACATGAGACGTCCAAAATACCGATGGAAGGACGTAGTGGAAAATGACCTCCGCGCACCCTGCACGCAGAAAATTGGGAGGAGATTGCACAAGATAGGGCGCGCTGGCGCCATCTCGTATCGGAGGCCAAGCTTTCTTGGGTCTCTGAGCCAACAGAGTAACTTAATAAGTAAGTTACACTAATTAGTCTGTAGGTTCCTTTCTGTTTTGTAATTTTGTACACATTACCTACCTGACCCAGTGGAGTCGTGTCGTTTACTCATTTCGATCCCCTCTTCTACATCTTGGGTAGGTCGATTCATACGTCGGGCTGCATCCAACGGATGACTTTTTTCTAATAAAACAGAATATATTCGTAAGTATTATTTTATTTTAATCTTTACTTCAATTCAAGTTCCTATTTAATCAATAACAGTTGCTTTAATTTTAATGAGGAAATAAATAACAATTTTGTATTTTAGTACCTTCTATCAGTAGCGGAGTTATTTCAGTGTACATTTTCGTTTTTTTGGGATAACAACACCCTCTCCGGAAGAATAAACCCAGTTGTTCGTTGAACACCATCGCTGTAAAATTTATGCTATTTCAGTGATTGACCTTATGAATTAATTAGTTACACAAATTAAAACTAAATATCCCTCCTTGGCGTAAGATTACCATTTAAACCAAAAAGAAGTAACCTTTCTCCTTAAGGCTGCTTATAGATCGACTGCATTCTTGCAGTTAATGCGTTAAGTCGTTATCAACTTAATGCAGCATGGTCTAGACTGCGTGAAGTTGGTGACGACTTCACGCAATAACTGCAAGCATGCAGTCAATCTATTAGCAGCCTAATTGCAATTTTCAACAAAGGGAAAACTATATGGGCTACATATTTATTTTATTAAATGTCGTGATGTTTTTAACATGATACGCATATTTTTGTTGTGAAAACACTCCACTAGTTTGATCTTATTAGTGATATAAAGATCGAAAACACAAAGAAAATCTTTTCAATCCGACTGGCCTCAAATCTGTAGCCTCACTATTATGTCGGAGCATTAGATCTTACTTATGTGAGCAAGTTAGAAAATAGTTACTTGTTATGCAAGGCTGCAAAGTTGTACAAGCAACAACTTGTACAGAAACCTGAGCAAGCGATGGAATCTAAGATTGAACCAAAAATAGATTCCTGAGTGTAGTGCGGGTTTCAAGCCACGAGACGCAAAACAACTTTGCTGCCGCGCGAAACACACAACTTTTCACCTCACTATAGCGAGCAAAATGGTATATGAAAGAAAAACAGTTGAACTATAACAAATCACTTTTAATAAACAAAATTAGTTATCGTTGTCAATTTAACAAAATCAACAACAATGTCAACAATAATAAGAATAAAATATACCAACGGATTTATATTACATAAATAATGTACGACAAATCGCGTAGTTGAACGTGTCATTATCTTTTTTTTCATCGAGAGAAAAAGTTAAGTGCATCACAGTCCATCGTCAAGTTCGATTTTTTAAAACCTTTTCCATACTAGCCTAGAAAAAACGCTTTTGCGCGCAGATTTGTAATGAAAAAGAAAGCCTTTCCGAGCTAGTGAGGTGAAAAAAAATAAATAAACGCGAACTTAAGTCATATTCAAATCTGACATTAGTATGTAAATTCATATGTAAAGTTTACCTAGTATATAGAAGGTGTACATGAGCACGAGAACCAGCGCCTCGTGCCAGTAGATACGGTCGTCGAGAAGAGACAAGATGAGCGCTACCACCGCCAAGGCGTACATCAGACAGTCTCGCGATACTGACCACCAATCAAGTTCTATTACCTGTACATGACGATCATCCCTTTGTAACAACATATTATGTATATCATGCCGATAGAGACGCTACTAGAGAGACTATACTTCATTAATAGCCTTTTGTTAGCACAGCTAGCTAGGAAAAGTTTGGCAATGTTTTCTTATGTCCAATACACTAGTGGAATAATATATGCACGTAGTCATTGACTTACAAATAAATGGACGACGGGTCTAATACAAAAACCACGAAAAAAATGTCCCAAGTCAACCTATTCGAAATTTAAATTGTAATGTCATCGCAGTATCGCGCTGTCAGTAGAACAAATGAAGACTAAAGCGGAGTGTCGCGCTCTGTATACGATTTTAGCGCCTTACAAGTGCGGACACTTTTTAGCGCGGACCCGACGTCCATATAATTGTAAGTCAATGCACGTAGTAGAAAAACATTAAATACCCTTAAGTGGAATTAGAAAATTGTACGTCAATTAATCCTAGAGTTTTCAATACGCAATGGTGGCTGAATCGCGCTTGTACATGACCAAAGTGGGTAAATCCAATTATGAAAAGCAAAGCGTTGATTAATTTTTTTTAAAGTGACATATACGAAAAAATATTTTCATTTTACGCAAAATTAAATGCAAGAAAAATTATTAAACGAACAATTAAAATGAAATAAAATTACTAAATGTATAGTACGTTCCTTTCTATTACGTCTTATTTAGTGCGTATAGCAAACAAGAAATCTTAAGCATCGTGTGCTAAGTTACATTGAACCGATAGCGTGCTGGTGTTACCATGCTAATGGTGATTACAGGCTTTAGGTCACTGGGTGTAAATTAAAAATTTTTAAACATTAAGCCCCCTGACTTCCAAAGTCTAATTTTTTTTAGCTTTCTCTATTAAAGGAATTTAAGTGTGCAACTATAATTAAATCTAAAGCAGGCCACGGGAAAAGCGTTCCGAGGCGCACCTGCGGGAAGCGAATGCGTATATGCGTGTCACACATCAGTCCCAAGCGGCGGAATAGCGGAGCGAAGGCGGCTAGTGTGACATCAAAGCAGCCATGTTTCATTTTCTACACAGATTTTAAAGAAAGCACGGACACTGATCTGTGTGGGACGACGGTTGCATAGAACTCAATGGAATACAACTCCCGCGCACGCACTCGCCACGCGTTCACCGGATCCGCTTGTTTGTCATAGCGTTCGGTCCCGGATCGGTTCATAAGAACCCGAACACTACAAAAATTGCCGCTCCCGGAACGCTCCCGCCTCTGTGTGGCCAGAGCGTTAAACGACAGCCATCTATCGTTCTGATGTTAATCAAATTTTATCAGTATTCCGTCACTTTACATGGCGTTCTTCTCGCGTGGCTGTCTTTGCAAGTGGCACAAGATGCGTAGTTCGAGTGCTAGAAGTATGATAATTAAACATGATCTGAGTATCTGGCGTACACTGATTATGAATTGTATGTAGCGTGTGTCGGTGGAGTGTGAAAAGTGTTGTAATTATCGGTTCTCTAAAGGACTGAGTTACGAACCCTGCCAGCCATTAGAGCACAACAAGCAGGTACGGCCAGCACGTTGAATACAGCTGAGCCCACAATGGCCCCCACACCCAGATCGCCCTCAGTTACAAAGGTGCCTACGCAGTTGATGAATAGCTCGGGGCTGGAGCTCGCCGCCGCCATGAATGTAGCTCCTGTTATATCTGACGCCATATTCAGTCCTGCGAAACGACCGAAGATTATTTTATTTATTTGTCTACGGGGAAAAATCGCTGTGGCAGTCTTCTTAGGATTCTATATACATATACAAACAGAGAAACGTTATAATAGTTTCGCTTTGCCGTTGCGCCCGTAGCACTGTAATTTTGTAATATAACATGGCTATTTTATAATTTGGTCATCAATAATGTGTATACGGTTTAATATGAAAGTTAGTTTAGCGTAATTCTATCTTACCCTGACTTACCAAGCCCTGACGTGTTGTGTGGTTTGACACATACTTACTTAGGTCAATATGAATTATTGCTATTTTCTTACATTTATATTATCTCTATTTACCGGATCTCACGTCTGATTTAACAAGACAAAGCAAATGAACGTTTCTATTATTATTAAAAAAAACTCTGCAAATCAACGTAGCGTAACTGTGATCATTACATAATTTATTTCCATCAATTATTTCACTATCGATTGCGGATGTGGTTGGGAACAAAATGCGTAAATTGCACACGTTATGTGACTTCTCTTCAAATGTAAGAAGTAAGGCACAATGCAACATTCTCGTGAGAATCAATTTATTAGATAATATGCAGCGGTAATTGAGCAAACGAGACAACATTGATGCGTAATACGTCACATGCAGTTATCTTAGGGAGGTTATTGATTTTTATAAAAGTTATATTAATTACCATTCTTCCGGTAATTATGTGATAAAGCAGGTGTTATTCTTTTATATCCTTTAGCAGGAATGGACGTACCAAGTTCGATTCAGAATCGCATTACTTCGTTGGGAGGTAAATTATTCACTTTCAATGGAATTATAAATTCAACGTCCATTACAGTTGTAAGATACGATTTGAAGTACTTATAACAGAGTCAGTGGAAGGCGTGGTAGCGTAATGGTGTGACGTACCATCTCTCGAGCAGAGGTCGTGTGTGGGTTCGAATCTGAGCTCGCATCTCTGAGTTTCGAATCTATGTGCGAAATTTAATTTGAAATTTACCACAAAGGAAAACATCCTGATGAAACCTTCACGTCAAGGAAGGTTCACAACCTTCTGGGAAACGTGTGAAGTCTCCAACCTGCATTGGGCCAGCGTGGCCTAAGCCCTTGCCTAAGAGGAGACCCGTGCACAGCAGTGGGACTTTCTAAATGTAATATACAGTGATGAAACGAACAACTGGTGCGCCTGATGGTAAGCTACACGCCTGTTCATAACAGTTGCAGTGCCACTCAGAGATTTCAATCGCAAAGATCTGAGGGGCACTGCCACTGCGCCCTGCACCCTGAGACATAAGTTGACAAGTCCCTTACCCTTTAAAACCGAAACATGGTAATGCTGACATTACGGCTTGGTGGCAGAAATAGGTAAGGTTAGGCAGTACTACTCTGGACGAACTCTTGCAGGACGCATAAATGGATTGATGATAAAAGAGTCACAACTCTTATCGACAAATAACCGCAATAATCTTTTTTTACTTGGATATAAAGCTTTTCCTGACCGGCTCAAGCAGATTGAACAATATAAACGATATGATAAATAAACATGCATAGTTATAAAATTCAATTGATTAATTAAGAAAGTAAATAATTGCTTGTTACTTAAGTCCGCTTGTATTATCTGGAACTAAAGATAAATCGTAAGTAATTTGTCTCTCTGGTACCAAATTGTACACAGTGTGTTTTATCATTTTCTTTTCACTGGTATTTTTAACGGTCCGTTAAATAGCTAATTCGCACTTTCATACGCATTATTGTAGCAATCAAAGTTTGAGCTCCATCCAAACACGCTCACTTGCTCGTAAAGTTCATCCCCTAAACTTATGCAGGTCGCACACTCACACAAACATGAACATATTCACACGTACACACGCTCACACAAATCTCGTGCACACATTTCACGCACTCGCACATATTTGTATTTTCTATTATGTAATTTGTTTCTAGAGAGTATTGATCAGAAATTCGAAAGGTGGAGGCCAGGTAACCTAAAACACAGGTTATCCTAGTGTAGGCTCCAGCCTCTACAAATTTTCCTGTGTGTGTACAATTATGTCAATTAAAATTGTTACAAATTTGTTGAGGAAATAATGAATTTATTTAGTTACTGACTAATAAATATAGGGAGCGTAGGTCAACTAAATTTATGGAAAAAGACTATTTTGTAATCTCTAATATAATGGCACTTGTAAGGAAGCACATTAGGTACTCACGTTCACATATCATTTCCATCGCCGGAACGAAATATTGTTCGCATACAGTGCCCAGCAAAAGAAAACAGTAGATAGCCAGTATGCAATGAATTGCAACGAAACCCTTGAAAAAATAAACATCTGTTACCAGAATACCGAATTAGTATATTCAGTGTATTTATTTAGTTTAGTCTTGTTTAAAGGCAGTTCTGCGCGTTCCGAAAAAATATGATTAGGCCTAAGTGACCTTTTTTATTAAAAAACATCGACCTCAATAGTTAGAGGAATTACATCTGCCAAACATTATTGAATTTGGTTAACGGAAAGTGGGTGAAATAGAGTAAATCGGATTCATTTATGATCCTTGTGCTCTGGCCACACAGAGGCGGCCGCGGAAGCGTTCCGGGCGCGGGAATTTTTGTAATGTACGAGTTCATATGAACCCTGACACACTGAAACGCGCGGCGGCGCGTCTGCGCGTCTCCGCGGCCGCCTCTGTGTGACCAGAGCATTATATGCGAAATATTTTCTTCCAACAAAAAAGAATTATCGAAATCGGCTCACAAATATGGGAGTAATCGCGTAACAAAAACACAAAAAAATACAGTCGAATTGGGAACCTTCTCCTTGTTTTTGGAAGTCGGTGAAAAAACAAAACAGAATTAGCAGGATGTACTTTTTAAAGTAGAATCCAAAAAAGCTCTGTGACAAAGATCTTTCGACTCAATGTTTTTTTTTATTCGTCGCTTTACGCTACTTTGCAAAATCAAATCGTTGTTAACCTGTCTTTACCTACCCGCAGCATAAAGATTAACTAAGAATTAAAATTTTACACAATTATATAACAAATATATAAAGCTCACAATTGCAAGGGAAATAGAGTCGCAAGGCGCCCGTTAGAAAAAAATCACATAAGTATTAAAAAACCCAATTAAAATCGATTAAAATTATTAATTCAACTTTGGTTATTTAATCCCTTTTATTGCCTAGCTACATGTTTGCACAGCCTTAGCGCGTTTCTGAACAAAAGTTGTTAATTAATAGCGATTTACATGTTTTCTTTGTTCTCGAGTAAAACCATCAGGCGGGAACTCCAATATCGCAGGAGGAGTGCAATTGCGGCCCTCCTTTTCCAAGACGCTCAGCAGGTGACGGGAATGACCTGACGACATTACAGTTACTTAAGATTTGCGAAGCTTAAATTAGAAATGGACGTGGTGTATCTATATAAAAAAACTTAGATTCAGGCTTGGGGTGTATATCGAGTTCTTAGGTTTTAGCCATTGTTGGGTACACATAGAAAATGAAACGAATTTTTCCGATTTAAATCACGAATATTTGTTTTCTCAAACGTTTCAGACCAACCAAGAGTCGTGATCTGCTTACGTACAGTTTATTTCAATGACAATATAGAGTTACGACGAAAACAGAAACAATAGTGACAAATAGAAAGAAAAGGCGCCAATAGCAAGTAAATATATATTTAGAATTTCTGTATAAAACTAAACTGTTAAAAAGACTATATAAAATATATGCACGGAAAAGATTTGTAGCAACTTGTGCGACTCGCTACAGGCCCAAAACGTTGGGGTCAGTTTCATTTCCTATATATATATATGACTATTTTGAATAATGTATGTAGCCGTTGCATTTACTTATCCCTGCAAAAGATTTGTCACTTTTTGAAGTAAATTTACCTGCATTGTAATTATCTGGGTTCGAGGCGGAGAACTCTTCATTTACGTCGTTCACAGTTAGAAATAGGAAGTAAAAAGATGGAATTCCAAAAAATAAAATCACTCTTATAAAAACTGCTAATCGAATTTTGCACTGATGCTGTCTAGTCCTTATCAACATGTTGGCCATTAACAAGAAATTAAAAATAAATTTGCTGACTAGAAAGTTAAATGCGATCTAGAGAAGTTAAGTATTAAAAATACGCTTTGTCAAATAAAAAATTCGAATATTTCGCTGTATATACAGCTCAATAGCATTGGAAGGCAAGATTTTAAAAATAACACATTAGTTGTCATAGACGTACTATAAGCAAGCAAGCCGACAAGCAACTGTTTTCTATATTCTTGACTCCTTCAAGGAAAATAACAATTATTTATCAGTTAAATTTTATTGAAAAGGATTACGTTATCAGCTGTATCGATAACAATGTAAATAGAGTAGCATGTGGCTTCTGATCGACACAGGTAGTCATATTTCCGTTGTGACATAAATAAATAAATCGAATCCAGCCGGATCGAAAAAAAGTTTTGTTAGTGTTCGATAACTAGTGGAGTAATTTCACAATAAAACTTAATAGTAACAAAATACAAAACAATAATTTTGAACGTAGTTGACAGGAAGCAAAGTAATAAAAAAATCCGACAATTTAAAGTAAAAGCAACAAAAAAACTTTATGATTAAATTTTCCATTTGGTGCGGAATCAATACTTCGTCTCACACTTCGATTACGTATTGCTTAGTTTAGCCGTTATTTTTTGTTTTTTTTTGGTTCTTTGAAACATACTTTTATATCTCTATATACACCTCACTATACAGAGTTATAACAACCTTGCAAGTCTAGATTACTAACATCATAAACAACAACTTTTGTTCTGTGACTTTTGACAAACCATGATAAATATACCAAAATTATACATTTAAGTTGTTTTTGTACTATCTAACACTTTTTAGATCTGCCTTTGGTAGTAAGGTAGCAAATTCAAACGTGCAAGCGTCCTCTCCGAAGGCGACGACTCTCGCGTTTTGCACAGAATTACCACCAGTTAGAGCGATCTATTTAAATATGTTTATTTTGTATGAAAGTAAAATTTGACGAATTATTTCAAGACATGGAACAAAAATTGTTGTCTATGACGTTAGTTATTTAGACATAACCCTGTATACACCACATCTAGAAAGCACTATAAAACGTTTAGAGGAGTTAGTAGCATTTAGATACTTACGAAACATACCCCCGTCACCTCGTCGTAGGCGGGTAAAAATATTATTGCCATACACGGCATTTTTATTTTCCCCTTTTATTGATCCTGTTTGGGTTACGAACTTACAAGATACATAGGTATAAGTAAATTAATATAGTAACTGGTCCAATAATTCAAACACAAACAAAATTGTCAGAGCGCCTGGCCTAGTTATGTATAGGTACTTATAAAGATATGTATCTAAACCTAATTAATGCGCTTACAAGGTTCTGGCTAAAAAGTAGTCGAATGTAAAAAAACATTCCATTAATAACGGTTAAGTAATCTACAGATTACAAGACACTTGATATTGTGAGGAACTTTCCGTTGTTTGAGGACCCGTGTCTTGCACCTAATCAATGTGTACACAGACATCGATAAATCGATGCTTACACATATAGGTATGTGGTTTTATATATTTCTAGATGTTCCGTCAGCTCTGATAACTCTAAACTGTTTAATCGCAATATGAACAGTCGAAAAGTGGGCAACAAAAAAAATAGTATGACTACTGGAACAAAGTCTACGTCTACGTAGATTTGAATGTATTAGCATATGAATCACTGTCACAGCAGTTTGCTACAACAAGTCGCGTGCCGCAGAGGTGGCTCTGAGAAAGGCCTTTAAATTGAAGTTTAACCCGGTGAATTAATGAAACCCCAGCGCGCTCGTTCGCTTGCACACTCCTCTTGCACCCATATTTATAATTTTAGTAGGTACTTCGAGGATTAGATACTTTCATCATAAAGGTCGTCTTGTTTACTTCGATTATGAAGTAATACCTACCTTGTAGATAACTAATATGTGATTTCTTTTGTATTAACTAAGGAAATGGTTCTGCATGCATGATTCGTGTCTGAATTCTAGCGCTGCGCGGCTGGACCGCCATGTTCACTTTGGGAGTTACTCCCGCACTGCGCCGAAGTGTCGGCTGACGACGTACGTGTATTGTATGGAAATATATAATTGGCCCCGTATTCTTCTTTTGACGAGCTCTCCGGCGGGTCCATTATGTCCATTTGAGCGCGAGTGGCGGCATTCGGACGCCACTGGCGACGTCCTCGGTCGCCTGCGTCGCGCTCCACACAGCATCACGCCAATATGAATACCTCCGATCGAGGTACGACACCCTGTTTTACATATTACTGAGTATACGATTAGGGAGGTGCATTGATAGTAGTGCATCTCATCGAAACACCCATACGTATTCTGGTGCTCATAAACCTAACAAGGTTACTTTGAAGGAGGTCGGAAGTGTGTCCAATTCCCGGTGAATGGCTTATGTCATATACTACTGAGCAGTGAATCAAATGGCAGTGGAAGAAGAATATATCAGCGGTCTAGTGAGGTGTTTGAAAGTGAATGTGGTGGGTCTTGTGTAAAGATATATATAGGGCATGGGAGCGGTGACGAAGAGACTGTAAGTATGGAAGACAGACGAGCTATTTGGTTTATTATGAAACGTCAGGTATGAAGTCTTCCAGCCCTTAACGTAGAAAATTGATTCATATATATGCATAATCATAAAGAAACATATTATCGAGAAACATAGATAAAAATATAAATTTCTATTAATTACGGACCATGATTCCAGAGGATAATACATTGATGCTAACAATGTTTGTCCAAACTTCAGTACAAAACAACAAAAAGCCGGGCGTGGTTAAAGTTTCTGTTACAAAATGTATTGAACACTCTTCCATACGAAATAGTGCAGATTATAGAATAGCAGCGTATATGTAAACTTCGACCGCACCTTATTAAATAAGTAGGTTATAGTAAAGTATTGTAAATTGTAAATACGGTTCTAAACAGCTAGTTTAGCTTAGGTAAATAAAAGTGTGCGTAAGCCAAGATCACGAATTGTAACTAATGAATGGTCAAAACAGTAATTGAGATCAATTCCTATAACAATCAACAGAATTCGTTTATTTAGCTGTACGATGGGCCTATTCATTTTCATTTGTCTAATAATTTTTGTCATGACACGACGCGTGTTTAGAATTAATTGATATCATGAAGGTTTTTATTAGATTGTAAGTAAAATAAGAAAAGGTATGATTTTGTATGTATTATGTAAAAATGATATAGCCATTTGATGTGGTTACGCCGGCGGTGGTCCTAAAGTTAAAGGGGAAGGGGAGGTACGAGCTCCGCCTCGGTGCCTCATCCGGTCGGTCCTCGCGCAAATTGTCAATTGTAAGTCGTCATCTCAGGGCTGCCAGAGAGCAAGGCTGAACGTTGCCGCTCTTCACGTGACCTACATATATTATCAAAAATATTTAATAGTCGGTATTAAAACGAAAACTACCTACAATATAGCTACCATAACACTCAAAAAATTAGTTTAGATAATTGCTTGAGAGTAATTGTTTTTTCATTTCTCTTGGCTACAGCATCGATCCAATAACAAGTATGTTTATTTTCATTCAATTAATTTTTTACTTAGCATCTACGTATAGGTTAACAGAGAGAGTAGTGAATCGAAAGACGACAAATGTCCACGTTAATACAGACTTCCTGCCTACTTTGATCCGTCAATTTCCTTCATAGTGCATTCCAGGATGTGCGGGAGTCTCAACGAGGTATGACACGCACAATTTAGCACACGCCTAAGGAGTTACAGGGCAACGCTGGCAACACGACTTATTTTCTGAAAACAGTTAATCTGCTTAAACAATTTAGTGCAGTGGTCATTTGAGACAATTTGTCCACGATTGCCCTGTTGACTTTGCTATTTGTTGAGGCATATTTAGTGTGACGCAGGAAGAACATTTGTTTCGCAAGATTAATATGATTTACCGAGTTAACAGCAGAACGTATTTTAACAACCTTAGTTTTGCCCTAGGTATGTTATTTAACACAATAGTAGACGTCATTTTATGAAGTGGGTAAACGTTGATAAATATATTGAGTAGAATAGGTAAACACAATACTCATAGCTCAAGTTCGAGTTCACAGATAGACACATAGAGTAACTATAATTATAAATTTTGTATGAAAAACCGACCTGAAAAATTAGTGAAATCACATCTATTTGCCAAGTTTTATTGAAACCGAAAGTGGGTAAAATCCAATAAACCGGTTCATCCCCTAATTTTCTACCCTTAGAGGTGGATTATTTTCTTCAAATTTAAAAGGGACCACTACGAGGTCCAAAAACAACCTTTCCAAAGAAAATATTCATCGAAATTGGTTGACAAATGACAGAGTAATCGCGTAATATACACACAAAAAAAAAACAAAGTGACAAACTAATTTTTTTGAAGTCGGTTAAAAATGCATTTTATTGAGACAACTTAGTAAAAGATTAGACGTGACTGCACTTTTAGTTCAGCTGAAGCCGGTTATTAACCAACTGTTTAGTCTGAACACATAATAGAGGTATAACGTGCAGGCAGCAAACTTTATAGGCATTTATTAGGGTTAACTGACGAGTTCACTACGTTCTTCTTTATATACATGATCGAATTGGGACTTTTATATTGAATCTTTCAATTGATTACTAACAAACCATTTTATTACTGTTAGTTGAAAGTTGGTTGGTTGATATTATTTATTTTTGTACGTAACGTAACTAACTTCTAATGAAAAAATATTTTTAGTAAATATAAATGATATTGTTATTGGTATTAATTGTAATACAAATTATAAAGAATTGTAAAGAAAGATTCAAAGACTGTACTTCTGTATTTGACAATGTCGAGTTCTTAGATTGTAGCAATTTCTACACATTGAACATTACTCTAATTTTTCGGATCTAAATTGCGTATAATATTAGGTATCTAAACTGTTCCACGATTTAATAAATTCCAGTCAGCCGTGTCCACGACTCTCTCCATTACGATTTACGTATTAGATTTGAGTAAAGAGATTCATTTGCAATATTTATACAATTTCAAATTTACGTAAACTCATGTAATTCAGTTTCGTGTCTCTTTAGGTGAGAAATTGTAATGTTATTAAAATGCAATTGTTGTAATGTTGGATTGATATTAAAATGTAAATGTGACATTTATTAATGACTTACTGGAGTCCGCAACTTCGTCTGCCTAGAATATGTACTTCGAGTAGCCTACTGTACTATAATAATTTTCATTGTTTTTTTGGTTCTCCAAACAAACTTTCATCCCCTATTTCAAACGATTTGAAATTTATTTATGTGACTTACTTTCTCAAATACGTATCTTATAAAGGGTGATTATAGAGATGGCAAAACTTCCTATTTATTTAAAATTTTTTATCAATTGGGTTAATTTGGTTGCATTAGGCTGTGAACTTAGGCTGCAAAATTTGTGTATACAATGCATATTTTGCATTTAAGTTATTATATGCTTTAAGATACGAGTTTGAGAAAGTAATTCGTTCGGACAATATGTCCTTCTCCTAGGGCCTCTATCTATCTACCTATATATATATCTTTATACCAAAATTTATTAAACTTTGTTAGGCGGTTTAGGCTAAAAGCGTAACAGACACTTTCGTTACTTTCGCATTATCATCGGGTCGAGACTAGTTGTATGTAAAATTACATAATATACAGCACATATAGACAGGTTTTCATATTCTACGAAGGATTTTTTTTTAATAGGTGAGTTATAAAATTTCACATGAAAGCAAATTGTTTCATGTAATTCGTGTTGTTTTTAAAACTTTCATGTAATATTCTCAGTACAGAGTAGTAAAAACCGACCTCAAAAGTTCGTGGAATTACACCTATTTGCCAAGTTTTATTGAATTCGGTTACCGGAAAGTGTGTGAAACCGGATTAATCCCCTAGTGTGCCACCCTTATAGGTGGAACATTTTGAGACCTTTACTGAGGTACCTTCGTTCCAACAAAGAAAGAATCATCTAAATTTGGTTCACAAATGCCGCGTTATATAT